CCATCCATCCATCCATCCATTATCTTTACCCGCTTGTTCCACTTTGGGTCACAGGGGTCGCCGGTGCCCATGTCCAGCGGTCACTGTGCGAGGGGCGGTCTACACCCTGGACGTGTGTCCAGTCCATCACATGTATCTCCAGACAGTGCAGTCACAGTGCCATATTTCCAGTGCGCTCAGTGCTTGTGTCTTACCTGCGCTGTGAGCCCCTCCCTCTCCCTCCCTCCCACCTCACCCGTTACGGTAGGAGGGTCCAAGTTCACGGAATGACGTCACTCTGACTGCAAGTCCGACCTACTCTTCGGATTTATTTATTTTTTTTCAGGACTTTTTCTGTTACGTCTTTATTTTTGATTAAATGCACAAGCTCACACAATTGTTAGTCTACGAAGAATTACAGCCAGAAAGTGACAATAATAACAACAGCAATGCAAGATTATGGTGTCGCGCGACCCATCGCTGTGATTCGTCCTGTCCGTGTGTGCGCGCGCGCGCGTGCAGCTCGCTGTGGAGGATTACTACTGATAACACGCAGTAGACTTCCAGCTGTCAAACTGACAACTATGTGTTTGACGGAGCGCGCTGTTTGTTGACGGCCGCTCCACTTTGCTGCGCGCGTCTTGCTCCTCTCGTGGATTATCGCTGCCCAGCAACACAGACAGGCGCAGAGCCACCTGACAACTCTCAATGTCGTAATTAAGGTAAGGAAGGACGCGGCTCCGTGTCCGTTTATCTGCAGGTTTTCATTTCAGGGAGCTGATTCTGCGCGTGAACTCTCTGGGATGAATAAATATCTCCTGTCGGGAATCTGAATAAGTTTAGCCTCTCTTTCTGCTGCACAATACAACTCAGCAAGAAGTTGAAAACGACCTTTTAGTCATTATAAAACACTTTTTATTTGTTTTTTGCTTTTGTGCATTTAACAGTTTAGAGTCGCTGCTATTAGTTAAATACATCATATTTCTCCCTGGAGGCATTCCTTTTTTCTAAACTCTGCAAACACAGCTTCAGCTGCAAAAATAAAACGCACAATATTTTGTTTTGATTTATTTATGCCTGCCATCAAAATAAAGACGTGCTGAAAGTCCCGCATGCTGATGAGGATGTTTGGTTTTAGAATATTTTCATCATACTTGTTTTGTAATTAAGTGTTTTATATGTGCATAAATATGAAAGCCTAAAAAGATCAAAATGAGGGCGGATGTTTACCAAACAGGCAGGGGAATTTTGCATCCAGGACGAACTTTACCTCATCAAATATTTTAAATTTAAGGTCTGCAGAGAAACATGCAATCCTAGCATTAATGTTGCAGTGTCTTATGTTTTATTTATTTATTTTTGGTTCTTTGGTTATGAATGCCGTCTTGTTGCTCCAAACTACAGCTCAAGTTGTGTCGCAGCTCTGTTGTGGTCGCGAGAGCTCCAACTATTGAGTGACAGCTTTCTGTCCAATCCCTGGAAGGCCTGATGAAGATGATGGAGCTCTGACTCGACCGTCCAATAGAGGTGCAGCTGAGGAGGGAATCTAAAAAGGGAGGGGGGGTTGGTGACGTCACGCAGACTAATTAACCCTTGCAACGCAACTGCACTTTTATGCAGCGATGAAGAGTTGTGAATGCTGAAGAGGAAACACTGAAACCTGAATAGTACTTAAAACTATTTTAGATGTAGTATCTTTTCTGCATAGCACTGAATTCCTGCCTTTATTTGGGGGCTGCAAATGAAATATGTGTAATGTGTATATAATACCTTTGCCTACCACTTGACTTCTTTAGGGTATAAGTTTATTTGAACTGTTTATTCTTGAGCTTCTATAAACAGTAGCACCTACAAATTCCCCCATGGGTAATAGTTCAAATCAATTTTGAGGTCACAATAAGTTATGAGTTATGTTAATAAGTTATAAGTAATGAGTTTTTTTGTTGATTTGTACATGCAGGTTTACTATCAGACACCATCAATACATCATCATTACTTCATCATTTGCGTTCAGTAACATTGAAATGTTGGACACATTATTGTTTTTTAGTTTAACTAACTACTAAACAAGTCATTCAACACTAAAATTTCAAACATTGGGAGCTGTAGAAAATCACACAATAGATTCATTATAACCAAAGCAAGTCAAACTCATGTTTAGGAGCTGTTAAAAAAATGAAACATAACAAAAGACACTCTCATAAGAATAAATGGTAAACAATAAAAAAGTAAATTAATTACTTTCTGATACATTGTTTTTTTTATATTTTATGGCTGAAAATACTAAATGAAAACTACAGTCACTACTAGACTTCATGAAGGGTGTCCTCTTTGAGATGTTTATTTCTGAAAATAAATAAATAAAATAAAATTGATTCCCAGAGGCACCTGATGTTTTGTTAATTTAACTGTTAGTTTGAAAGGAAATAAACCTACCTGATTCATAAAATATCTGATCTGATTTAGAAGAAGGAAAAATAAAAAACCACACAATCCTAAAGATGTGTTTGAAAATACAGCCTGATTTTGTAATTTGTACCTAAACCCTAATTCCTAAACCCTCATCTCACTTTAGGTGTTGCATTTTTATGCTTCCATGTTCACACTGAAAACCAAACTAGACACAGCATCTGCTGCACATAAACACCAATGTTATTATGGTGATCTGTGCACACGGTGTCCTAAACTTAAGGAATGGGTTCTCATGACCTCAAACTTGATTTCTCATGAACCCAAAGGAGCTCGGTAAAAAACAAATGTTTACCTGCAGAACTAGCCAATATTAGTCGTTGATAGATGAGTAATTTAGTCTGATTTGGTCTGCACCTTTTTGTTTCTTTCTTTTCTAGATGAATCAATAAGTTAGCAATGGAGACCAAAGAGTACCAAAGTTTCTTGGATGGAGATGATTCTGAGAATAAATGGTCTCAAGCCCCAGGCAGTATGGAGTACTGCTGCAGCACAGAGGATTCAGGTCTGACAAGCAGTGATATCCTAATGGACATGGTCAGTGTCAGCCGCCCTGTTGGAAGCCCGGCTGCCGACAGCAAACACAATAACACGAAGAAGCAGGAGCAGCCAATGCTTCAATTCAGCCAGGACCAACCATTTGTTCTCCCGCACTTCAACAACTCCCTGCTCGGTCACAAGCAGGAAATGGACTCCAAGGAGCTTTCCAAGACTGTGGCTGAGTCTATGGGCTTGTATATGAATGCTGCCAGGGAGGCGGATTTTGCTTTTAGCCAACACGGAGGGAGCACAAGCCCGGGAAAGCTTTATCCAGTTTGTGGAAGACCTCTTAAAGAAAACCAGTGTGGCTCCACAAAGAGCCCTAAGTTAAAGCTGGTTGCGTTCCAGCAAACTGGCCTCACCCCCAGAGAATGCAGCACTGGGACTCCAGTTAGCTCAGCATCTATGCTTGCTTCCTCCCTGTCCTGCAGTCCTAGGTCCTCCAGCTGCATTTCCAGCCCTGGAGGGAGTAACAACATGGTGTCATCTACCACTAGCCCTTCTACATGCTTTGGGCCACTATGCTCATCCGTCAGTAGTCCTGCAAGCCAGACTTTATGTGCTGCAACTCTAGCCAACATCAAGCGCAGGAATTCAGCCACATGTAGCCCTGTGGAATCAAGCACCGTTGGCTCACCACTACTCGCCAGTCCCCTTAATATAATGAGGTCCCCCATGTCCAGCCCACAGAGTATGAGCAGTGTGAGATCCCCTCCATCCTGTAGCACTACGTGTAACATCAGGTCTTCTGTTTCAAGCCCTGGTGGCAGCTGTACTGGTACTACCAATAATAGTAATACAGTAAGACCCTCTATTTCTAGTCCAATCACAGGGGGGGCTATGCCTGTTACTAGCCCTCAGAACCACTCTTCTACTGGGTTTCCTGTGTCCAGTCCTGCTGGAGGACTAGGATTAGTTCAGAATGACTCTAACAGCCCAGAAACGACAGGGGTGACCAGAGACACAGATTTCAAGAACTTTGAGTTCCCTAAAGTAGAGATGACAGATAGGGAGGGGTTTAGCATTGGTTTGGACCAGATGGGTATGGTTAAGTACATTAAGAATGAGCCTGGGACTGACTTCAAGAGCATGTGTTTAGGTAGCTCCAAATGTGACATGAGCAGCACACCTTTTATCACACAGATCAAGACAGAGCCAAACGAAAGTGAGGGATGTATGAACCAGCAGTCCTACAGTGAACAGTCGCCATCTCTTGGCCTCTTTCCCGCATCTGAAACCACATATTTGTCCCTGAGAAACAACATTGATGAATACAGTCTTTCTGGGATCTTAGGACCCCCTGTGTCTTCTGTGAATGGGAGCTATGAAGCAGACGTGTTCTCCAACAACGTCATGTCTAAAGGGGTTAAGCAGGAGTCCACTGATGACGGCTATTACCAAGAGAATAACGGCATGTCTACGTCTGCCATTGTCGGAGTTAATTCCGGAGGACACTCATTCCATTACCAGATTGGAGCGCAGGGAACAATGTCATTCACGCGGCATGATGTGAGGGACCAGTCCAACCCATTGTTGAATCTAATTTCACCTGTAACAGCATTAATGGAGTCATGGAAATCTCGACCAGGCATGTCGCAGGGATCTCTGTCAGGCAGAGGGGAGGGATACTCGAGCCTGAACTGCATTGCTGACAGCATGTCCAGGTAAGAAGGAAGAACACATGACTATGCATGCATATTTAGTCTATGACTCTTGGCAAAAGGCGAAAGTGGAGTGATTATGTCTTTGCCTATGTGTTTTCGTGTGCTTGGGTCTGTGCTTTCGTCAGCACCTTTAGCAAGATATCTTATAAATCATTGAATAGGTTTTAATGAAAAGTTTCGGTAGGTAATCTATGGATTTACATCTATAACTGAATAACTTTTGGAGACAACTCAAGATTGCACCATATCAAAGGGATCCTAGCAAACACAAACATGGCGACATGTTTGTCAGTTCGACAAATATTTACCTACATTTTGTAGCTCTTACTAAGGCCAACCCCTAACTTTTACGGAATTCTAATTAATAGTGTAATATCTTTGTTTCAAACTTCATCTTCAACTATTGGAATAAAGTTTATTTTTTGGCAATATACTTCATAAACCACTGGATATAAGGACACTCCCAGAAAGCAATCTTTGGATGTATATCTACAATTCATTACCATCAGAAGTCAACCTAATTTAAAACAGCTACCAGAGCTAATCAATCTTAGTCAATACAAAAAGCACAAACAGTTTTACATATATTGAGCTAAAGTGTGTGTGTTTGTAGCCGATTGTCAGCCACATTATATTCTTTCAGCTCTACCACATCTCATGAGATCTTCCTATTTTGCGTAGGATTATGCGTAATGTCATTGACAAAATGAATGAAATCTCTGGCAAGAAAGGGCAATTATTCCTGTATGGAATGCTAGTCCTTAAATAATTATTGTTTTGAGTTTATTGTACTATGTAACACAACATTTTATTATAACATAAAACATATTTATAAACTCCCATACTAACAACTGGTATACATTCATTTGTTCCATTTTCCATCCCAAACATGTATTAGCACCAAAGAGTACCTGCTCCTATTTATCTGTGTCTGAGTTTATTTATACAGCATTTCATCTTATCATGATTTTTCTATCCTCTCAGTTTGACGTGTTTATTCAGCTTTACGGTGCACACTTGTCTAGAGAGTAGTTCCTCTGTCTGTGTGTTTGTGCATGTGCTATAACAAGGCTTGCAGCTCTGTGGAGACTGATACAGCCCTGTTACCTTGGAAGCAACCCATATGGCAGGAGCCAAAGCGATGTTGACGGGATCACTGCCACCTTGGTCCTAATGAGATCTAGCTTAGCCCTAATGTCAGACAGGATGACAGGAAGAGGTGGGCTGTGTGGAAGCAAGGCAGGGAGGCAGACAAACAAAATATACACACACAGACACTATATATATATAAATTCAGGTATATTTCAAGTGCAATGCAATTTTTTTAGTGGTTACTTTTAAAGAGACTTCTCACATCACTGCTGACAGCTCATCTTAGTTAAAAAGTCTTGATATGATTCATCAACACATTTGAAAATATTTAATTCAGTTTTTTTTTTATATAGCGCCAAATCACAACAGAAGTCATCTCAAGACACTGTACAAAAACATTCACATACATAAAAAGCCAATTAGTAGAATATCCTGATGCATGCTCAATAATCCAGGTAGAAAAATCTAAAAAAGTTAAGTCTGGTCCTCTGGACATTCAAAAAACCAACAAAACAAACAAACAAGCAAACGAACTAAGTAGAAACGTTTTGTCTTTCATCCGAAAGACTTCTTCAGTCTGAGGTGCAGTGTTCAACTCAGTCTTCAGCAGCTGGTTTTGGTTGTCAGCAGCAAACTGGTTGATCCACTACGAGAAGGTGCTATTAATAAGACTGAGCTGAATGCAGCACCTCAGAATGAAGAAGTCTTTCGGATGAAAGACGAAACGTTTCTTTTTTCTTTTTTTTTTGTGTGTGTGTGTTTTGTTTTTTGAATGTCCAGAGGACCAGATTTAACTTTTTTTAGACCAATTAGTAGAAGTTATTTATCTAAGGAAGCCGGCAGATTGCATTGAATCTTCACTTTGTCACAGTCTCCCATCCTGAGCAAGCACAAAGGCAACAGTGGGGAGGAAAAACTCCCTTTTAGCAGGAAGAAACATACAGAACCGGGCTCAGGACAAGCAGTCATCTGCTTTGACCGGCTGGGGTTTGAGAGGAACAGGAAGTAGAAACAGACAAACATAGAATGACAGGTCTAGGTGTACCCTCTATTGGAAGAAAGACAAAACAACAACAAGTTAAGGATAGAAATAATTACAAATACAAAACAGGTAGAAATACATAACAGGAAGAGGATAGCAAGTAGACAGCAGCAGAGTGAGGAAATGTGGTCAATTTGTGCTCCAGCAGTCTAAACCTATAGCAGCACAACTAAGGGATAGCTCAAGAAACCCAAGCCAACCCTAACTATAGGATTTATCAAAAAGGAAAATCAAGTTGACAATGTGTCAGCCTCACGGACAGAAACTGGAAGTTGGTTCCACAAGAGACGAGCCTGATAACTGAAAGATCTGCCTCTCGTTCTACTTTTGGAAACTCTAGGAACCACTAGTAAACCTGCAGTCTGAAAGAACATAGGAACATGTGGGCTACTGCTCAGCTTTGGTTTATACGACGGCCTGGCCTTATCTCTTACAGGCAAGATTGTTCGGGAATGAGAGTTTTAAATCCCCTGACTCATTTGTTTCCTCACAATATGGCTCTGTCTTCAAATGTTTTAATTAACACACTCCTCTCCTAAGAAATATCAGTTAATTTACACAAAATGCTTACAACATTTATACTCACAAAAAAAGAGGTAAAATTATTCTTTAAATGTTATGCTTGATTTAGATGTGATTCTAAAAGCATAGTGTGTTTTTAGTAGAAATGTAGTTGATGAATTTTCTTTAATTTGTTATATTTTTAATTAACTCCGGTAATTTTTCTGTAGAGCAATATTCAACACAAAAAAGATTGTATCATTCTTTATTGGACAATGTGAAAATTATTTCAAAAGAAAAACCATTAAGTTTAGAGATTTAATTTATACTTGCTTACCATAATATTAAATTTCTTTTTACCCATCGGCTTTTATCCCCCATCATCCTCAGGTGAAGACATTAAGACAATAATGTGTTTGCCTGTATATGTGTGTGTGCCTGCATGTGTGTGCGCGTTCTCTCTGTTATTAAAATATATCATGAACCAATGGATGACTTTAATTAAACTTTCATGATATAATCATTGGATGTACAAATACAACCAATCAACTTTCGAAGCTAAGCCAATTTAAGATGGCCACCATTAACAACTGGCCTTAGAAAACACAAAAATAGTTCTATCAATTGAATGTATATTGGTCTAATATTTGGCGTGACTATAGTTGAGCGTTATCCACAACACACAGACCAAATGATACTCATTACATGAGTTATTTGCTAAAAACTTTAGCTTCAACTGTTTGAGTCAACCCTGTTTGTCTGTTAGCAACATATGTTATGAATCAATACATTTTTAATGAAATGTTCAGAAAATTATCATTGGATTAAATATACATAACTTTTGGAGTTGGTTTAATTCTTCTTTTTTTTTTTTTTTTGGTTGGTTTAATTTTAGATATCTGTCACAGCTATTTGATCTTACCCAACACAAATATGGCTTTAACTCAGTCTGTTTTTCAGATATTGAGCTAAAATTTGATGTGGTTGTAGCTGAGATTCATTCCCAACACACACTGACATCTTGTGATGTCATATGAGTGTGGGTATAATGTGATTTGGGGGGTTTGGTCAAAACAGCTACAGCTCGGTATTTAATTTCTCAACATAACATTTTAGTCTAAATCTCTGGCATGAAAATCCACAGCTGATATGCATTCCTTCAAGGGATTCTAGGTCTTTATAGTTGTTTTATTTTATTTTTTTCTGTGATGTTATTGTTTTCTGATCCTAAAATTACCTAATCCTATAGATGGCAAAATCTAAAACTGATATAAGCAATGTTCGTTATAATTTTTTTTCATTTTGTGTTGCTTTTATTGATTCAATCAAACATGAACAAGCTGCAGTTTTGAGTGAGATAAATGCTTCACACTGGACTTTAGCCAAAGCTCAATGTTCTGCAGAGGGATGAAAAGGCATTCTCTCGTGAGATTACTAATAAGGCTTTAATTGTATGTTCCTCCACTAAATTAATGGATGGAAATGATTTGATTAATTCAGACACTGCTGGATACTAATATCCAATTAAATCCCAACAACAGGCATGCACAGGGGCTCCGAATGCATTATAGATTTGTGACAATAAGCGGACAGCTGCTTTTTTGGGTTGTTAGAAAGATGTTACCAGTGAAGGAGCTAAGAAATGACTGGATTTGTCCAGGAGACACGACATTGTGGCAAAGATGGTGCTTCGTGTTGAATGCATGTCTTTTAATAATGCTCTTTTTTTTAATGTGAACTGCCAAATATTTCAAGTTCAAGTATTTTTATTGTCATTCACATCACATGTGGTACATGTGGTGGAACGAAGTTATGTACTCAGGGTCCCAGTTACACCCAAAAATAGCAAAAATATAAAGTATCAAAAGAAACTGTATATAAGGATCTAAGACATATACTAAACACTAATAATGTAAAAATAATGCGGTATATTAAACAGCAGCCCGAACATGAGTCTGTAGTAAGTAGATGGGCAGCATGAGATGATCAGTAGCATGAGATCAGCAGCATGGATAATCAGCAGCACAGCTAAGTCACATATCACCAGTGAAAGTGGCATTACAGAGATTTTTTTTCATATTTAGTTGTAATTAAGTGAGGAGGTTCTCAGTTTTGGAGAAATGATTCATTTGGATTCATTTGCAGTTTAACTCTGGGCTATCTAATGAGCGGAACAACTCCAGTTAAAAAAATTAATAAAGTGTATGCATATGCTAATTCATAAACTTTAATGCCAACATTACTTTTACATACTGGGTTATTACAGCAGAAGAGTGCTACAGCTAGCTGCTGCTGCTGCTATTTACACTTGCATAAAAAAAAACTATAGGATTATATGCAAATAACAAACGTTGTATAAAGCAGA